ACAGGAAACAATAGTCACAACCAAAGCTGGTACGTACTGGTTGGGATATGGAGAAAGGGAATTCTTCCAGGCTGTCAGTGGGAATGTGAGTCAGAGTTGTGGGGAACAGTGTGGAGGTTTCTCAAAAACTTTAGTAGAAATACCATATGATCCAGTCTTCCTACTACTGAGTATATATGCAAAGGAAATTGCATGTCAAAGAAACGTCAGCCCCCCCAATCCATGTTCATGTGGCAATATTTTCAAGTACTCAAGATACAAAGTTAGGCTGGGTGTGGTGGTACACACCTGTCATCCCAGCATGGGAGGCTGAGGCAGGAGGATCACAAGTCCATGCCCTGGGGCTGGGGATTTAGCTCAGAGGCACAGCGCCTGCCTGGCAAGTGTAAGGTCGTGAGTTTGATTCCCGGTACCAGAAAAAAACCCAAAAAATAAAAAATAAAATCTTTAAAAAAAACAAGTCCATGCCCTGCTGGACGGTTTAGTGACTTAGGGAGAGTCAAAAATAAAAAGGTATGGGTATGTGGCTCAGTGTGAAGGCCCTGGGTTTGATCTCCAGTGCCATTAGGAAAATTTTTTTTTTTTTGAAAAAGAAAAAAAAATTTTTTTGTTGATGGATAGATTAATGAGCTTGATGCAATCATATCAAGATTTCATGTTGTACACCTGAAACATGCAAACTTTTGTCACTTATACCTTAAATCTGGGGTGGGGTAAAAAAATCACACCCAATAAAGCTAATTTTACAAATATTCAGTGTGTGACTGAGTCTTGCAGAGCTGCCTGCTGCCTTCCAGAGGCCAAGGTCAGCCAGGGTGGGTGCCTCACGCCGGAAGTCAACCCCAGACCTGGACTGGGCCCCATGGTCCTGAGGCTTCCTGGGCACGGAAAAGGCTGTGTCATCCCCGGTCCACAGGACTCACCAAGGTGCCTGTATTAATGGAGTCCTTGCTTCGTGTCAGCGAGGACGCATACCCTGTACCATTGTGAACACTTGGGCGAGTGCTCAGTCTGTGACGACTGCCCAGAATCCTCAGCCTCCCGCTTAGAGCCGGGTGGGAAGGAATTTAGAAGGGAGAGGAAGGAAGAAGCTGAGTACCTGACTGGGAATCGTGGCCTGGAGGTCATGGGTGAAGAACCCTCCTTATATAGGAGGCTGAGGCAGGATGATTGTGAGTTAGAGCCTAGTCACAAAGGGATTCCCAGAGCCAATAATGGTGTGCATCTGTAGTCCTAGTTATTTGGGAGGCTGAGGCAGGAGGATTTCAGGTTTGAAATCATCCTGGATAACGTAGACCCTATCAAGACAAAAATAGTACAAACTGTTCCATGGGTTTGTCTGCTGTTCCCTCATAATTAAATTCAGGTTACACCTTTGTGGCAGAGATTACACAGACGTGAGGTACACCCAGCCGCAGTCATATGGTCAGTCTGTACCTTGCTGGTCAGCTTCGATCACTGGGTCAACTAGGTGACTCTTGTTCCGCTGACAAGCGTTAGGCGTCTGGGGAGGTGCTTTGAGTGTATAGACAAGGGGTAGTTCAAGAGGTGAAGGGAGGACCTAGCTCATTCGCTGAGGTGCTTGCGGTCTTTCCGCTCACCAATGGAAATCGAACAGATTCTTACGCCTGGGGAAAGCAAGCGGTTGTGTTACACGGTGGCCACTGGGGGGCGGCAGGGGACAGATGAATTCAAACCCACCCCCGCAGCCGCCGACCTGCAGTTCCCGCTTGAAGAGGCTTTGCCTGAGTCCTGCAGGGGGCAGTGGGGAGTCTCGCTGACAACTGCCTGCTGCTCTGAGCAACTAGTCCCCACCAGATGGAGTGGTCGCCAGCTGCCAGGCAGGCGCCACCCCAGGACAGCGCCGTCAATCCCTGGACAACCCCTCTGCTCTGGCTGAAGAATTCTTGGATCCTGAGGGGCATGCGCTTGGACACTGGCTGCACCCCAAAACCACACCGCAAGGGGGAACTGCGTGGGTTTCCCGCACGCCCATGAGATCAGAGTGGAAAGGCAAGATATGGGGCTGCCGCAGGGGTCTTAGAGGCGGGCATCACGGAGCAGAATCAGCGAGGCACCTGAGAAAGCGCAGCCTGCTTTACAGCTCAGCTCTCAGGCTGGCTTGGTGACACACATCTGTACGCGTAGCACTCTGGGAGACCGAGGCGGGAGGACCGCAAGTTTGACCCCAGCGTGGGAAATTTAGCAGCTTACTGAGACCCAGTTTCAAAATAGGAAGTAAAAAGGGCTCTGGGCATGGAGCTCAGTGTAACTGGGTTCTCAGGGTAGCCAGATACTCGGGGGTTAAAAAAAATCTTCAGCTCATGTTTGGGGATTCTAAGGAGACAGGGTGACAGCACAGCAGGGAGAGGCACTTCAGGGGACCCCCCCCCCCCGCCAAGATTCATTTGATTCCTGCAGCAAATATTTGCCAAGCAGGTGAAGCTGTCACCCAGCCGCTGGTGTGCGGTATCGCTTGGGCTGCAGACACCATATTCATCTTCACTGGCCACGGGGGACCCGGGGCCATGTCTGGGGACGTTGGTGACTGTCATGACAAAGGCTGCTGTTGGCATGGAGCAGGTGGAGGCCGGGGACACTGCTCAGCACCATGCAGTGCCCGGGACGCCCCACAGAGAACGCCTGGCCCCAGTGTCCCTGGGAGAAGCAGCCCGTTTGGTTTCCATGGATACTGAGTTCTCGCAGTGAGCCCCGCCTAGTCTTTTGTCCCGACGGGGAACTGGCAGCAGTGACTTTCTTGAGCTGGGACTGGGGCTCACCCGGAGCTCTTGCTAGAACAGAGGGACTTTGTGGCCCTGCAGGAGACGTGACATCCTGTGGAGCCCAGAGCGGACAGGACACGAGGCTGTGACCCAGCTGTGGCAGTACGCATGCATTCCTGTCTGTCACCCAGTGTGCAGCAGGAGTTCACAGTCGGACCACACAATTTGGAGGCCTGTGATGCATACTGGAAGTTGGTTTTGTTCAAAAATTAAGAACTTTGGGCTAAGGATATAGATGGGTGGCACAAGCGCCTGCCTGGCAAGTGCAAGGGCCTGAGTTTGATTCCCAGTACCAAAAAAAAAAAAATTAAGAACTTAAAGATGAGCCCAGCCTGCACAATTTAGCAAGACCCTGGCTCAGAATGGAAGATCGAAAGGGCCGGAGACATAGCCGGGTGAGAAGGCCCCTGGCTCCGTCCCTGGCGCTGCAAGAGAACAGAGAACAAATCTAAACTGAAACCCCAGGGGATTTCAAGATGGGGACAGCCAGGCAGCAAACCAAGCACGGGGCCTCGAGACCCCAGTCCAGGGAACCAAGGGCCATGTTAGTGTCGCCCACAAAGTCAGGGACCCCGGGCCAGGCCAAGGCCAGAGTCTGGGAACGCGGCCACTGCGCTGGCATCTGAGCGGTGGCTTTGTCCAGGGCCCTCGTGGCCATGGGCCTTTTCTGTCCCCAGAAGAGCGCCTCCCCACCCCAGCCAGGCCGGTCCTGCAGGTGGGACGCTGCGGACACGCTCGCGCTGATCCTTGAGGGACTGTGGAGAGCAGCCCCCGGTTCCCTGTGTAAGTCAAGAACCACCAGGGGCTCGGCAGGGGCCCCGGCGTCTGGTCGTCCCGCCACGCTTGCCCGGCCGGCACTGCCTCCTGGCCCAGTGTGGCTGCCACGGCCTCCAGGCTCCTGGCTAAGGGAGCACAGGGGGAGGTGTGGGAACGCCCAAGATCAGAGGCTTATTCCCAGCTGTTCCAGGTGCTGCTGGGCTGCTCTTATTCCCAGAGCAGGGCGCGCCTGCGCCCTCGGGGCACTGTGTGGGGCGGGGGCTGAGGCTGCAGTGTGAACAAAGACCCCCAAAACGGGCACGTTCCCTGTGCTCGCTGCTATAAGAAACAGGAACGAAGCTGGGTGCAGGGGCGCACGCCTGTCATCCCAGCACTCTGGGAGGCTGAGGCAGGAGGATCACAAGTCTGACTACAGCCTGGCAATCTTACTTAGTGACTTATCAAGAATCCTTGTCTCAAAATAAATAAAAATGGGGTTGGGGATGTCACTCAGTGTGAAGGACCTGGGTTCCGTCTCCAGTACCAGAAAGAAAGATAAGAAAACAGGGCATAGGGCCAGGGATATGGCTCAGTGGCACAGCGCCTGCCTGGCAAGCACAAGGTCCTAAGTTCAATTCCTGGTACACAAAAAACAAAAAAACGGCATGGTGACACACACGTCATCTTAGTCCCTGGGGGGCTGAGGTAGGAGGATCACTGAGTTTGAGGCCAGCCTGGACTACATAGTGAGACTCTGTCTCAAAACAACAAGAAAGGAAGGAGGGAGGAAGGGAGAGAAGAAAGAAAAGGCAGGCAGGCCAGGCAAGGTGGCGCACACCTGTAATCCCAACACTTGCGAGGCTGAGGCAGGAGGATCGTTGCGAGTTCGAGACCAGCCAGGGCTACAAAGTGAGCTCAAGGCCAGCCTGAACTGCATAGTGAGACAAAAAAAAAAAGACCAAAAGAAAAAGGAAGAAGGCAGGAAGAAGAGAGAAAGAGGGAATGGGGCGGGAAGCTCGTGACGCCTGTTAGCACAGTACAAGGTGGAGATGCGGCCTGTATTGGCTCCGCACGGGGACAAACGCCCGGAACAGTGCATCACAGTGCCCCTGAATGTCCCTGGGAGAGGCGGCAATGCCTGAGCAACATTCTTCCTGCCTGGTTCATCTAAGTCTTCAACATAAGACCAGACAAACTGAGATTACCATGGGCCTGGTGTCCTCAGGACAGGTGCACACCTTTCCCTCCATTCCTCCCCCACCCCAACACGGACGGTAGGTCGCTGTTTTTTGGTTTTGTTTTGTTTTTTTCTTCCAGTACCAGGAATCAAACACAACCTTGCACTTGCCAGGCAGGCGCTGTGTGGCCGAGCTAAACCCCCAGCCCCCAGGGCGCTGCTTTAAAGGCTGTGGGAGCTGACGTCAGTGCCTGCTGTGTGAGAACAAAACACTGGAGACCGAGGACCTGTGAGATATGCGTTCATAAAGAAACCTTCTAAGAACAAGTAGAGCACAAAACTATTGGCATAAACATTTTCCAACGAGAGGAAGTATTGCATTTCCTTAGACAGCGCTTCCTTTGTGATCTCTGCATGTGGTTCGGGGACGAAGCCCAGCCGGTCTTGAGTTCAGGGCTGTGTGAGTCCTTGGCTGTCATCTGTCCCCAGAGTTTCCACTTTGAAGAGCTCAAGGTGGGACTCCCAGGCGTCAGAGGGACGCAGGGTCGCGCATGTGGAGGGAGCCACTCGGAGGACTCCTGGAGGGGCCGCAGAACACGGGAGCGGCTGCCGTGGCCCCGGCGGGATGCTGACCCTGGCCCTGGGCGCTTGCTGATGAGGATCAGACTTGCAGCTGTGAGTTTCTAAGGACACGAGGGGACCCATTTCTATGGCTTGTTCTTTCATAGGCTGCGGTCTGCCTTTTGGAGACAGAGCTCCGCACAGCAGGAAGCCTGGGACCGTCTGGCCGCCGAAGGCCACAAGGCACAGCTGGGATGGGCTCCTCCTGCCCAGAAGCACTGGGGACTCTGTGCCCCCAACAGTGCAGGCCCAGGAGAGGACACGCTGTCGCTTGGTTTGTCACCGTGGTGAAAACATGGTGGAGCAGCAGCCCGAGGTGGGACCAGCTCTCTGCACAGCCCCTCCAGCTCTTGCAGGGACGCGGTGCGAAGCTCACACTGCGACGGGGGGCGTCCCCGGGACAAGGGACAGAGGGACCTCGCAGCAGCTTTGGCAGCGTTGATAACATTTTTCTCTGGTCAGTCCCGGGTGTGCGGCCCCAGGCCCAAGTCAGAGAAAACATCAGGTCATCTAAGAGGCACAAGTGCAGTGGGGCCAGGAAGTCCAGGTTCCCAGGGCGACTGAGAGGCGTCTTCTGGGACCCGGAGTCTGAGGGCACTCAGGGTTGGTGCTAGATGCCACCGTGCAGGTGGTGGCCCGAGTCACTGCGCTCACGTTTTACCAGGGGCTCGCCCAGGCTGCGGGTGTCCTCGGCACTCTGCTCACTGCCGATGTCGTCTGCGGGGAGGAGGGGCCGAGGAGTGCCTGAGCAGAGAGGTGCAGTGGGACAGGGGACACGTGGTCGCCTGTGACCGCCTGGATCAGCAGTGAGTGGCGTGTGTCACGTCCCAGGACAGCCTGGCCTCTGGGGTCCCTGGGACACAGATGTGGCCGCAGGAGGCCTTGGGCCTCTGCCAGTTGTCGCAGGGACCCGGCCACTTCCCAGCCACCACCTGCTATCTGCACAGCAGCTCCCCGGGGTCCCCAACCCCCCCAGGGGCTGCCCCAGTTTCCACCTGCTTTGGTGACCTGGGGCCAAGGGGCCTGGGGGAAGCCAGGACATACGCACCTTTGTCGAGCAGCGTCAGCGACAGGGAGGTGAGGTCACCAAACTGCAAGAGAAGCCCCGGGTCAGGGCCCGCGGAGGCGAGCGCGACTGCAGGCCTGGGGAGGCCAGCGCGGTCACAGGCAAAACCCATCTCTGCTTCTGTTTGACTCAGCGTCTGCCAGGACAAGTGGCTCTGACCTTTGCCCTGGCACCCTGGAGCTCCTGGGGTGGCCTGACTGCTCAGGTGCTGGGGCCGGGGTGGGAAACACAGTGGGCTTCCAGGTGGTGGCCTGGGGACCATAGTGCCCGCTGACTGCAGTCCTGGGCCCAGTACCCAGCTGTGGGCACGTCACTGGCCTCAGTATTGTGACCTCCATGTACTGAGAGCCTGGGGCAGAGGCACATGCCTGTGACCCCAGCACTCTGGGAGGCTGAGCCAGGAGGATCTCAAGTTCCAGCTTAAGCTGAGCAACTTAACGAGACAGCAAGGTCCACTGACATGCTGGGACGTCACTCAGCCAGGAAAGGAGTGACGCTGTGACACCTACCATAGTGTGGACGGACTCTGAGGGTGCTGTGACAACGAGGGACACCAGATACAGGACACACAGCGTAGGCCCCACGGACAGGAAACGCCCAGGGGAGGCGACTCCAGAGACAGCAAGTGGCACTGTGGGTGAGGGGCTGGCAGGGTGGATGTGGGCTGGGCCTCTTCTTGGGGGACTGGTTGGTGGTGCGGCAGGGCACCTGTGGATGGCTGGGGCTGGGGCCTGGGCCTCACCTCCCCCATGACGGCAATGGGCGTCTCCCCAGTGGCCTCAGCGACGCGGTGCTCCACCAGGTAGAACATGTACTCGTCATAGAGCAGGCGGATGAGGTGGAAGGAGCCGAAGCTGGCCGCGCTACGCAGGGTCAGGTCTCGGATCACCATGGAGCTGAGGCAGGCGAGAGAGAGGGGCACTCAGGGGATAGAGCCCAGGCCTTGGGACAGAGCCCCAGCAACCACAGCAGCCTTACACCTACAGCCTGCAGGGAGCTCTGCCAGTAGGAGGCCCCCAGGGTGCCAGGGGGGTTACAGTCTGACACAGATGGAAGGGGAGGGGCGGGACCAAGGAAGATGACAGACAGACAGACGATTTGCAGAGGTCTGGAGCCGGGTGGGTCTAATGGCTGCCTGGGGAAAATGATGTTCCAGGCAGGGGAAGAACAAGTGCAAAGGCCCTGAGGCACCAAGGCCAGAATACGAGCATGAGGAAGGAGCTGAGGAGGAACTCTGCAGCCAGCAGAAGGCTCAGCAAAGATCCTTCTCTTTGTGGTGCTGGGGATGGAACCCAGGCACATGCTCAGCAAGCGCCCGCCACTGAGCCGTGCTGCAGTCTGGCCAGCTTGTTTTGATGAGAGCCAGGTGGGGAGTATTTTTAGCCTTTGGGACACCAGTCACATTGCTCTTAGTAGCTGAGGGGCTGAGGGGCGGGGTGGGGCAGGACCTCGGAGACCCTCCTCAGCCCAGGCGGGACTCACCTGTAGAAGGACCACTTGAGCAGGAACTGTCGCGCGGCCTTGGGGAAGCTGGGGCTGCCGGCGTGCTGCTTGAGCACCTGGCTGACCACGCCGTCCAGCCAGCGGGCCCACTGCTCAAGCGAGCTCTGCTGCTGCAGGGTCACCTTGAAGTCCTGCTCCAGCCGCTGCACCACGCCCTCTTCGCACTGGCACACCCATGAGGCCTGCTCCTGCAGGGGAGGCACGGCAGGCGCTGACCGCGGCTGGGGCTGCACGCCATCGTGTTTAAAAACATTTTCTTGTTCTGGGGATGGAACCCAGGGCCACACACATGCTGGACAGACACCCACCAGGAGCAGCACCCCAGCCCTTTTTATTTTGTACTTTTTTGTTGTTTGTTTGTTTTTTCTCCGGTACTGGGAACCAAACTCACGACCTTGCGCTTGCCAGGCAGGCGCTTTGCCACTGAGCTAAACCCCCTGCCCCTATTTTGTATTTTGAGACAAAGACTCGGCAAGTTGCCAGGCTGGCTTTGAACCATCGGTCCTTCTGCCTCAGCCCCCCGAGTAGCTGGGATTACAGGTGTGCGTGAGCGCGTCCAGCTGTTTCTATTGTGTGTTGGTGCAGGGGTGGCCTCGGGGCCTCCACAGGCTCTGTAGCACTGAGGCCCACCCCCGCCGCACCCTGGGCTCTCCTGAGCTGGCCTCTGACAACGGTAAGCTGAGCACACAGCACAGCCCCCAGAGAGGGCGCCTGACCTGCTTCTAGGGACTCACACGAGTCCTTTGTGGATCAAAGCTCGTGCTGCGGCACGGCTCCGTTTTGTTTTGAAGTGTTCTCTCTTCTCGCTGTACGTACACATTTGTTTTATTACTATTTGCCATGTTGACAGAACCCAGGCAGGGCCTTGCACACGCTAGGCCAGTGCTCACCACTCAGCTCCACTTCCAAGCCTTTTTATTTTATTTGGAAACAGGATATCACAAGGTCACTAAATTGCCCAGGCTCGGCTCAAACTTGCGATCCTCTTGTCTCCGCCTCCCAGAGGGCTGGGATAACAGGCGTGCCCTACCTTGCTCAGCTTGTATTCATTGTTTAAATGGCTGAGCTCTGAGGCAAATAAGGTACAAAGGACAGCCTAGGGGCTTGTGACCTGGCCTCCTGCCATGTTCCTGCACTGTCCTAAACCCAGACGGAGATGCGCTGCTGGCATCCAGGAAGCTGAGCACCTAGGAAGCACAAAAGGGTCCCGAGATCTCTCGGCCCAGGTCCTGTTTCGTGCTGGCTTTTCGAGCAGGCGGGAGGACGCACGTGGACGTCGGTGGAGTCACCTGCACGTTGGCAAAGTCCACGCGGTTGAGGTCGCTGAGCATCTGGCTGATCTGGGACGCATTCTGCAGCACAGCGCGCGCTGCCTGCGCCAAGTGGTTCAGAGACGTGTAGCGCCGCAGCGTCTGAGCGAAGGCGCTGACCACGCCCACCTGCGGGAGGGAGGGGCGTGGTCAGCCCAAGGAAAGAGCGCCACCCTCCCACCCCCGCCAGCCACAGTAATACTCCGCTGCGGCAACGGCTAGAAGAGACGGCCCCGCCAGCGCATCCCGCGGCATCGAGTCCCAACAGGGTAGCCTGGTCCTCCCGCCTGCTACAGGCCCTCTGGCTATAGAAAACACAGACTGCCGGGCGCCGCTGGACGGTGCTTGGGGAGAGTCGTGGGAATCTGGGTTTGCGATGCCAGCCTAGGTGACTACCGCGCCAGGGTCTGCCGGGCAATAGATCAGTTCCCGGACGTGTGCGTGCAGAGTGGACGCTGGAGCCTGGCCCTCGGCCGCGCCGGCAGTTTTTTTTTGGTGCAGTGCTAAGGGTGGAACCCAAGGCCTCCTATCTGCTGAACAAGTCACCACTGAGATACAGTCCAGCCCTTTTTCAAATTTTTATTTTGAGATAGTCCTGCGTTCTTGCCCAACTCAAAACCTTCCTGCCTCAGCCTCCTGAGTAGCTGGGATTACAGGTGTTCACCACAGCGCCTGGCCATCCAAAATTCATTTACGCTATGTTGGAAAGAATGCCAAGGACTCGTCGTCACAGGCAGGCCAACTCTACGTATTGAATTCTGTGTTATGGCCAAGTAACAGGGCGAAGGCAAGGAGATTAAGGGGCCCTGCTGTGACGGCCACGGAAGCAATCTGTCCCAAACTGGCCCCAGTGGGCAATATCAGGTGACATCTTCTGCCACGCCCCTGCTGCCGGCTGTCACCCTTGTGACGCGAGGGCACCGTGGTCCTCTTGTCCCTCTTCCTCCCGGCCACTCCAGGCTGTCCCTGCACAGCACGCAGGGCCTGAGCGTCCCCGGGGCATGGGCGGTGCCACCCGCCTGTCACCTTGGTCTGGATGACCTGCTGCGGGAAGTCGCTCATGGCGGTGGTCAGCCAGCCTTCCAGGCTCTTGGCGAAGTTGCGGATGGCCTGCGTCAGGGTACCTGGGGACACAGCCGCAAGGCCAGCAGTGAGGGGTGACGCGGGCACAGTGGGGGAGGGACAGGGAGTGGCCCAAGGGGGCGGGGGAGTCAGCACCGCGGCCTCTGGTCACTGCCCTCTGTCTGCCACACCCGGGGGAGGGGACCCTGGGTGAGACCCATGGTTGTCACGCAGGGGCTCCGCTGTGCAAGTAAATATGTCCTAGTGGCTCTCAAGTCTATTTTGAGATGGATAAGAAAAGCACAATAAAATTTTTCTTTAAAAAACCCAGAGCTGGGCTTGGTGGTACACGCTTGTAATCCCAGAACTCGGGAGGCTGAGGCAGGAGGATCATCGCGAGTTCGAGACCAGCCTGGGCTACAAAGTAAGCTCAAGGCCAGCCTGAACTGCATAGCGAGACCCTGTCTCAAAATGACAAAAAATTTAAAAAAAAAATAGAAAACCCAGAAAACTAATACAAAAAGAAATAGGCTTAAACTCAGACCTCCATCCAGGGCTCACAGCCACACTGACCAGGTTCCAGGCAGCTGAGGCCAGAAGAGACCATGTGTCTGGGGTCTCTCGTTCTCTGGAAAAAGCAGCAGGCTGGGCCTGTCAGTCTGGTACTGAGGACGGAAGCCAGGGCCCCTGCACTGCGCTGCGTCGCCAGCTCTGTTTTGAGACAGAGTCTCACCAGCTTGCTCACTTGCCCAGGCTGAGCTTGAACTTGTGGTCCTCCTGCCTCAGCCTCCCAGAGTGCTGGGTGCCAGGTGCTGGCGGTAGCAGATCATTAAGAAAGACTGAGCGCTGCCCCATTCATTCACGGTCTGAGCCTCAGCATCCACGTGAGGCCTCTGTGTGGCTTCCTGTCCTCCCTCAGGATGGCGGGAGGGTGACTGGGCCTTGGCACAGCTCTGGGGAGCTCCAGGGGCACGGGCTGGCCAGGCGCCATGGCGCCCGTGGTCCTCTCTGGGCCTGTAACTCTGACTCCACCCCCAGGTGCCATGGGGGCATCAGGGGCGCAGAGGCACGGTGCTGAGTGCCCCAGGAGCCCATGCTGCAATCTCGGCAGGGGTTAAAGGGCGCCCCTCCCCGCTGACAGGAGCCATAGCCGCGGCCACTCCTGTCACACAGGAAATGCCCCCCCACCGTTTGCAGGGACCCTGGGGACAGCAGTGCTGGTGCGCCCTCGGGACCAGGGCAGTGGCGCCCAGGTGGCCCTCCGCCGTGGCCCCCGGCCTGCTCCGGGCAGTGCTCACAGGGTCACGTGTGCTGCCTGTCACCTTGGGTCAGCAACGAGGTGAAAGGAAACCCTGCAGGTGACTCCAGCGTCTGAGGGGGGGTGGGAAGAGACAGGAGCGAGGGCGGCCAGGAGGCGGGTCACTCACTGGGGACAGGGCGCAGCACATCCGGGATGAGGATCTCCACGAGCGCCTGGTACAGGATGTGGTCGCAGCTCCGCATCCACTTGAGGATGGGCGTGCACTTGCACAGCGAGATGAGCTTGTCCTGGGGGAGTGCGGCCTGCCCTTCGGGCTCCTCGTCACTGTGGGCCGTGGGCGCCCGTGAGCGGGGCCTGGCCGGGCCGCCCGCCCCTCTGGGCGCTCAGCTCCCGGCCGCCCTCCCTGCTGCAGCCAGGGGAGCTGCTGCGGGAGTGAGGGGTCCCCGGGGTTCGGTGGGAGCCCACGAGGCAGTGGGGCTGTGGCCACTGTCTGGGGACGAAGGCTGTCACCTGGCGGGGAGGGAGGCGGGGCCGTCGCTGGCAGTGGCTTTGGAGTTCCAGAAGGACAGCCAGAGCTTCTCGATGTAGTGGAACTGGAGGTTCGTGACGACGTCCAAGGTGGCCTAGAGGGAAAGTGACGGGGTCCACGGGAGCTGCGTGGGCTCCAGTGTGTCTCACTCGTGTGTCCTGGGCAGGGCGCTCGACGAGGGATGTGGCAGGGGTGACAGGAGAGACGGGAGGCCCAGTGGACAGAGCAGCTGCCGCCCACAGAGAGGACCCCCTGTGGTGGACACGAAGCTCCTTTCACCTCTCTGCCACCCAGGCCACCCGGGGCCGGGGCGGTCACCTCGCAGTGCCGCCGGTACGCCAGCTGCAGGGCCTTGACGTCGCGCAGAGTGACACTCTCCTGCAGCAGCACGCTGCCCAGCTCGGGCGCCGGGAACTCTGGGAACACGTGGGACACGTCTGGGGAGGACACGGGCCGTCAGACACAGGGATCTTAGAACTGGGGCCGTGCACAGCCACGGAGGCGCACGGACGCTCCTCGGCCCAGGCCTGGGCTGGCGTCCTGGCTCTGCGCACAGGTGGGTGACCTTTGTAATTTCCAGCTTCTCTCAGGGTCAAAACAAGGACAACTTTGTCGCGTCCCAGGGATGTGACAAGCTGAGCACAGGCCTGGGGACGGAGCACAAGCTGAGGGTCAGGACCTCGGCTCACATCACGTGAGGTGTTGAAGCTACGGCCTCCCTAGGCACCATCTCGGTCTACCTCGAAAACCCATCTCCCAGAACCCAAGGGTTCTGTCCAGACTCAAAAACCACAGGATAACACAGGAGTGGTGGCATACGCCTGAAATCCCAGCAACCTGGGAGGCTGAGGCGGGAGGATTGCAAGTTCCAACCCAGCTTGGGCAACTTAAGGAGACCCTTTCTCAAAATAGAAAATAAAAAAAGAGGTGGGGACATGGCTCAGTGTGAAGGTCCTATACTGCAAGAACCGAACCGAACCAAACCGAACCTCCACGGTACAACTGCGGAAACTGCCCAGTGCCCCGCTGAGAAAGGCGCCCATGTCAGTGCCCTTCCTGGGTTGTCCGAGTGGCAGGTGCTAAGTCTAGAGCCCGTCCTGTGGGCTCCACAGGGAAGAATGAGAGGCTGCTGCCACCTGGAGGACCCTAAGTGCACCAGGCAAGCGTGAAAGAAACCCCAGGACAGAGCCAGATCCTGTGTACTCCCGCGCACAAGGGCTTCAAAGAACTCACCATCTGTTCTTTCTGATGGTCAGGCACGCATTTCTCTTTTTGTTGAACCCTGGCCCTTTGCACGGAGCTCCATCCCTAGCCTTTTTTTTATTTTCGGGCAGGATCTTGCTAAGTTGCCCAGCTTGGCCTCCAGCTTGTGATCCTCCTGCCTCAGTCTCCCAGAGGGTTGGATGACAGGTGTACTTATTTTTCTGATGGTTACTTTATACAGCACATTTCAGGGGCGCATGCCGATTATTCAAAAATCTCAGGGACTGCGGTAAGAGGATCCATCTAGGTCTTCCTGCATACTGGTGGGAGGTACCGAGGGGACTGTCCCGGCACGTGGCCACCCCTCACCTATATACTGCTGGTGGTGCTGGCTCTGCGTGGCCATGGCCTGCTCAGGCGTGCTGTGCAGGCTGCTGTGGGAGCTGCTGTCCCCGAGGCTGTCCGTCTTCTGGGCTGGCCGGTACCTGGGCAGGGGACACGTGTGCCATCATGAGCCCCATTTCCGAAAGTGTGGTGAAGTCGTGTGGACAGAGTGTGCCATCACAACCACTCTTAAGCACCCCGCTCAGCCACACTAAGCGCGATCCCATGGCCGCGTGGCTGTCTCCACCGCCCACTCCAGAACTTTCTCACTTCCCCAAACTCAGCCTCTGTCCCCAGAAAACGCCGGCTTCCGTCCCCTCCCCAGCCTGGCGCCACCGTCCTTCCGTCTCTGTGGATCTGACAGGGCCCTTCTGGGAGCGGGACCCCACGGTGAGACCCCTTGTGCTGCCTTAGTTCAGCGTGCAGCATGGCCTCAAGACCCACCTGCGCTGTAGATGGCCATAAAAGGCTGTCACTCTGCGCTGCAGAGGATTTCCTTCCTCTTCGTGGCTGAGTAATAGTCCAGTGTGTGGGTGGATCCCACCGTGTATGCCCGCCCGTACTTAAGTGAACTTTTCCCTGCTTCTCCCCTCGGAGGCCAGGAAGTTCTCTGTGCAGAATCACAGATGTCTCCCTGCTGTGTGTCCCGCGGAGAGCGGCCACCCCAGACTGTGCAGTGGGAAGGGTGGGGGCGTGCCTGTCTCCACACGGACCTGGAGCGGCGGCGCTGGCTTCCCAATGCACTGGCACAAGCCCGTCCTCGTGACAGGCGTGCACTGCTCCGGAAATGACACGCCACCCAGCAAGAAGTCACAGGTGTTTGCCGAGAGCCAAACGTGTGCCGAGTGACAAGTGACAGTCTGTGTGGACAGCAGGCGCAAGAGGGTGGGGGCTCCTCCTCGCCTCCTGGGCCCTGGAGGACCCCGCTGTCACTCTGCAGCGGCATGTCCAGGTGTTCTTGAGTGGCCGTCTGAGCCACGGAGGAGAATGTGATATGGCCCCTGCTCTCAGGGTGCTCACACTTCCCATGGGAGGGCACTAGAAGCTGCTGGGAGGAGACATCTGGGGAACTCTTAACCAAGCACCTGCAAACTATGATGGCCCCGGGGCCAGCACTGTTCACTGTTTTTATAAATAAAGCTTTATTGGCACACAGCCATGGCCACTTGCTCAGCTGTCACCTGCAGCTGCTTCTGTGACACAATCTCAGAGGGAAGTCACCACAGACACCATCAAGCCCGCAGCTCTGAGGGATTTGCTCTCTGGCCCTTTAGAGGAACCCACCAGAGAACATTCCAGAAAGCAACCGGCCTTTCGTGGCCACTAGATGAACCTGTCAGGGAGAGGGTACGACCTCAGCGCGGAGCTACCTCCTCCTGAGCTGCTGGCTTCTTTGTGGGGCTCCCGCTCCCACTGCCCCCGTTACTTTAAAAATGAAAGCCCTGGGGCTCCAACTCCAAGGCCTTCTGGGAGAGGCAGCGAGGAGGGCTCAGTGGCTGCCAGGGGCAGACGGGGCACGGGGCACACAGCCAGGGCGGCCACGACACTGTGCTGTGACGCCGTCCCTGTGGAGCCGTGTCCTGCCGCGCCTGTCCATACCCGCAGAGTGCGGACAGCCAGAGACCCCGGCGTGGACTGTGGGCTCTGAGGGACAGCAGCGCGTCACCGTTGTCACAAGTGTGTGTGTGTGGGTGCAGCATGGGAGAGCTGTCCTTTCCACTAACTTCTGCTGTAAATCTAAAATTGCTATAAAGTACACGAAAATTTTAATTTTTCCTCAGTGCTGGAGACAGAACCCCGGCCTCACACATGCTAGGCAAACGCTCACCACTAAGCTGCACCTTCAGCCCTAAGACTTTAATGTGATGATGATGATATTACCATCATCGTTATTTTGGTGTTTTTGAGACAGGGTCTCAATATGGAGCTCAGGCTGGTCTTGAACTCAGAGTGATCCTCCTGCCTCAGCCTCCCTGGTGCTGGGATGACAGGTGTGCACCACCTTGCTGGGCCTTCTTTCTTTTAAATGACCAAATCTGAGGAACTCTGCCAGTAGCTGAGTTGCCTGCAGGCTGGCGTGTCCCTGCCCTGGGGCTGACGTGAGTTTGTCCCCAGGCCAGGAGCCCCCCGTACACGCATCAGCCCACCTCAGACTCGGGCACATCATGCTGGTGGCCTTGCCATCACCCACCTGGGCTTCTGGTGCAGGGGCTGCTGCCGCATGGCCATGTACTGCGTGTCCTCCTGCAGCCGGTTCAGCGGGGAGTCTGGCTTCAGACGGATGCCGTAGTAATGGTACTTCGAGTTGCCCCTGCAAACCACACAGTGGGCAAAGCAATAAGCCGGGGGCCCTCTCCCTGCTCTCGGCCATTCCTTTTGGCCAGTCTGGTTTGGTGTCTCCTGAACGGTGTGAGAAATGCTCATGGGGAAATTCTGCCGAGAGCCTCTCATAGAGGGGCCCCTCATTTATTTATTTTGCCGTGCTGGGGACGGAACCCAGGGCCTTTGCTCTGAGCCACATCCCCAGCCCTTTTTATTTTGAGACAGGGTCTCAAGAAGTCTCCACATGGCCCAGGCTGGGCTTGAACATGGGGTCCTCCTGCCT